TCTCTCTCTCTCTCTCTCTCTCTCTCTCTCTCTCTCTCTCTCTCTCTCTCTCTCTCTCTCTCTCTCTCTCTCTCTCTCTCTCTCTCCCTCTCCCTCATCCTCCCCTCCCCCCAAAAAAAACTGACTCGTCCATTGTTGATTCGAAGCATCCCACGATTTCGAAACAGCTTCGTCCAAACGAGCCTTTGAACTCCACCCCATCTTTCTGTGTTTACGACTCGCTGGCTTTGTGTTGTGGTTCAGATTACATTGTGTTTCGAAGTTCGATAAGATATTTGGAGACAAAAAAAAAAAAGGGGAAAAAAGTACCGGCAGTAATCTCATTGTTTTAATTTTTTTCTACTACCACAGCTTTTTTGAACCGAAGTTATGAGACCAAGATGAGAAGGCTAGCAACTAGCAACTCGGCAACAAGACCTGCAATAGCGAAGGATCCGTTGGACATTGCAAAGGATATTGCAAAATGTATTTTTTGACGTTTAATCGAAGGGAAGACGCGGAGAGAATGAAGATCACAGTGGAACCGATAGTGTTCATGTACAATATTGCATACACTGTGCAGCTGAGTTTGCAACAAGACTTCATATTTGCTCGTTTGTGCAATGAACACTACACGGCGCAGGTAAGTGTGATAATTGAATTAATTGAATAAAAGTCAGTGTTAATAGATTGTGACACTTGTTTAATGCATTTCTTAGTTAATTGATTTTTTTTAATTTGATATACAAGTGTATTTAAAAAAAAGAAAAAATATATTACCTGAAATTGCAGTAGATTAAAAACAATATATTTTATTAAGAACAATATATTTTATCCTCATATATATTTAAACAGCATTATAATAAAATTAATGTGGATTATTACTATCATAGATTTCTAGGCCATTATAGTGGCTTTAACCAAGTGTATTAAGTCGATGATTGAAATATCTTAAATAGCGATGGTGAAAAAGATTAATTTTATTTCAAATGTATTTAAGTTAGCGTTGGTGGTTGAAATAGGCATTTATGAATAGAAATGTTTTCTTGGATTAAATAGGCGAGTGTCAAGTTATCGTCTACATCATCACTATCACCAGTCTCCTCACCATCATCACCACTATCATCATAACCATCATCACTATCATTCATTATTATCATTATCATAACCATCATAATCATCATCTTCATCTTCATCTTCTGTATCATCTTTCTCATCACCATCATCATCTTCATCTTCATCCATCTTTCCCATCACCCTCATCATCACTATCATCATCATCATAACCATCATCATCATCATCATAACCATCATCATCATCATCATCATCATCATCATCATCATAACCATCCACCATCATCATCTTCATCTTCATCATCTTTCCATCTCATCATCTATCATCATCATCATAACCATCATCATCATCATCATAACCATCATCATCATCATCATAACCATCACCATCATCATCTTCATCTTCATCATATTCCCATCACCCTCATCATCACTATCATCATCATCATAACCATCATCATCATCATCAAACATCATCCATCATCATCATAACCATCATCATCATCATCATCATAACCATCAACCATCATCATCTTCATCTTCATCATCTTTCCCATCACCCTCATCATCACTATCATCATCATCATCATCATCATCATCCATCATCCATCATCATCATCATAACCATCATCATCATCATCATCATCATCACATCATCATCATAACCATCACCATCATCATCTCATCTTCATCATCTTTCCATCACCTCATCATCACTATCATCATCATCATAACATCCATCATCATCATTCATAACATCATATCATCATAACCATCATCATCATCAATCCATCATAACCATCATCACCAATCAATTAACCATCAAACATCATCATTTCATCTTCATCATCTCCCATCCTCATCAGTTCATCATCATCATCATCATCATCATCATCATCCATCATCATCATCATCATCATCATCATAACCATCATCATCGCATCATCATCATCATCATCATCATCATCATCATTCATAACCAATCATCATTCCATCATCATAACATCATCATCATCATCATCATAACATAATCATCATCTCATATCATCATCATCATCCTAACCATCATTATCATCATCATAAATCCATCATCATCATCATTCATTCATCATAACCATCATCATCATCATCATAATCCATCATCATCATCATCATAACCATCATTATCATCATCATAACCATCATCATCATCATCATAACCATCATCATCATCATCATCATCATCCATCATTCATCATCATCATCATCATCATAACCATCATCATCATCATCAATAACCATATCATCATCATAACCAATCATCATCATCATCATAACCATCATCATCATCATCATCATCATCTCATCATCATCATTCATCATCATCATCATCCATCATCATCATAACCATCATTATCATCCATCAATCAATCAATCAATCAATCATCACTCACCACCACCATCACTATCGCCATCACACTATTATCACCATCACCTCCACCTCTCATTCTCCAACTCCCACTCATAACCAGACCTTTTTTTACCCCACAAGATCATCCTCATCCCACTCCACTCCACTCCACTCCACTCCACTCCACTTTGTTAGAATTGTGCCAGGCCGGACCCAATTAATTTTCGTAAATAAAGAAGCAGAAATAAAGGCATATCTTTCTATATATCTGATAGATATACATTTAACTATCTATTTGCCCGATTGATATGCATGTCTAGACTGATATATATATGCATTTATATCTTTATTTATGCATGTCAAGTATACGAATATTCACTCCAGTTCACTCCACTCATTCCATACGACTACACAATTCACATCACATTACACACACTTCACTCCATATATTCCACTCCAAACCACTCTATTCTACTCCACACCAGCCCATTCCACTCTAATTAACTACTTAAATAAAGTCTGCTCCACCCCACTCCATTACTTCACCCCATTTCACATCACTCTGGTCCATCAGTCTCCACTTCGTTCCACTCAACCCCCCCTACCCCCCTCCTAGACACGTTCCACCCAACCCCCCTCATCTCACACCATCCAACCCCCCTCATCCCACTCCACCCAACCCCCTATTCCCACCCAATCCCCCTCATCCCACTCCACCTACCTCCTAACCCCCCATCCCCCCTCATCCCACCCCCTCCAACCCACTCCACCCTACCACCCTCATCCCACTCCACCTACCCCTACCCCCACCCAACCCCCCCCTCATCCCACTCCACCGAACTCCACCTAACCCCACCCAACTCCCCCTCATCCCACTCCACCTACCCGCTAACCCCACTCCACCAACCCCCCACCCAACTCCCCCTAATCCCACTCCACCCCCACCCAACCCCCCAACCCCCCCCTAATCCCACTCCGTTCATCCCAGATGTGCGACAACTGGTGGCTGGAGAAGAAAGTGGAGTGGGTGGAGCGCGAGGCCGTACGGAGGGTTATGTGGATGAGCATCACCACTGGACTCGTGGCTGTGTTCGCTTCCCAACTCCTTGGCGCCGCTCTCGATAGGTGAGGAAGGAGGAGGAGAGGGAGAGAGAGGGGAGAGAGGGGGAGAATGGGAGGGAGGGTTAGGGAGTGGGAAAGGGAGGGAAAGAAGAGAGGAGAGAGGTAGGGGGGAGATGGAGAGAGGGAGAAGGTTGAAGGGAGTGGGAAGGTGAGAGGACAGAGGGAAGGGGAGGAGAGGAGAGAGAAGAGGAGAGAGAGAGAGAGAGAGAGAGAGAGAGAGAGAGAGAGAGGAGAGAGAGAGAGAGAGAGAGAGAGAGAGAGAGAGAGAGAGACAGACAGACAGACAGACAGACAGACAGAAACAGAGACAGACAGACAGCGAGAGGAGGGTTAGGAGGTGGGAGGAATAGAAGAAGGGGAAAGGAAGAGGAGAGGAGAGAGAGAGAGGAGGGGAAAAAAGACCGTCATGGGAGAGGGGGAGGGAGGGAGAGACTTGGGATATATTTCGGAATAGCTTCGCATAACCGACATGCATACCTGAAAGTTTTAATGACTACAATACCGTCATTTCTAACCAAAAAGAAAAGACATGAAGTTTCCACCACTGTTCCAGATACTCCCAGAAACTGGTGATGTTGGCACCGTTCTTCGGCTCCCTGGCACTGAGCGTCGTGTGCCTCGTCGTCGCAGCCGTGCCCTACGCCTCGCTGGATCTCCTGTACGTTGGTGCCGCCATGAACGGCGCCGCTGGGGGCTTCGTCGTGTTCAAGGTACGGCTCCACACGCACATGCACACGCACATGCACATGGCATGCACACGCACGCACATGCACACGCACACGCACATGCACATGCACACGCACATGCACACGCACATGCACATACACACGCACATGTGCACATGGCACATTGCACACGCACATGTACACGCACATGACACGCACATGCGCACATGCACACGCACATGTACATGCACACGCACACGCACATGCACACGCACATGCACACGTACACGCACATGCACACGCACATGCACACACATACTCATACACAGAGAGAGAGAGAGAGAGAGAGAAGGAGAAGGAGAAGAGAAAGAGAGAATGAATGAATAAATGAATGAATTGGTGAATGAATGATGAATGGATGAAAGGATTATGTAATCAGACAGTTTTCATAATGTATTGACATATCGCCATTGAACAGTCCCCTAACTTCGCGTTCGCTGAGATAATAATAGCAATAACAATAATGCTTTATGTATAAAACTATTTTTTTCTCCCTCCTGCATAGGCCTCCGTATCGACATACATCGTAGGCATATCAGCGGCTGAGGAATGGACCGATAGATTGTCTATCGTGGAGTCCATGCTGTTCCTTGGCAGCGCTGTGGGTCCCCTAGGTCTGCAGTTCCTTATCCTGTACTGCACTACGTACCATTCTTTGCTCTTCCTTGGTAAGTTGTGGGGTTTGTTCTTGTAGGTATTTGAGTGTGGGTTAAGGCCGTGTCACACTAGCACTTTTTCCGTCATTTTTTTGACAATTTTATTTAATATCAATACAAACATTCTCGAATATAGCTCTTGATTTGACTATGTTTGGCTGTAAAAAGTTGACGGAAAGGTTTTCAGACGGAAACGATCATTATCGTCTGACTGGAAAATCGACAATTCGCTCAAAAATGGACAAAATTTCAGAAAATTGTCAAAAAAATTGACGGAAAAAGTGTGAGTGTGAAAGCACCGTTAATGGGGTTGTAGAATGGTAGAATGGTAGAGGGTGTGGTAGCCTTCATAGAATGGTAGAATGGTAGGGGTGTGTGGTAGCCTTTATAAAATGGTAGAATAAAATGGTAGAATTCAGTCAGGTTCGTTAAAGGGTAATTGACAAATGTAGAAATTTGACATGTCTTCCTTGCTTGTAGTTATTCAAATTCAAAATTGTTTGATTTTTCATTTCGTCTTCTTCTTTTTCTTCGTAATTGATAAAGACAAAAGGTGTGAATCACGTGTCCATATACACAATATACCGAATATTTCATCAAATCATAAAATCGTCACTTCAAGGAATTAATAAGAGCGATTTCCCCATTCCAGGATGCGAGATCGTCGTCGTTATGGCCATCGTCTACATCATCGCGCTGTTGCCAGATCACAAATCCAACTCACCCAAGCCTAATTCGCACAACACCGAAAACAACAACACCCAAAGCATAAACAACAACACCAATTACGAAAGCATTAGCGATAATGACTTTAATCCTTCCTCTTCCTCTTCCTCTCGTTCATCCCAGTTTGTTGTAGGATTTAAGGTTTTCTTCAGAGGGTTGAGTGATGCTTTTAGCGCCACCTTCAGGAGACGCGCCGCCGGGGTGAGGTTGGCAATAGTGGCTTTGCTGTTGGCGGACTTTTTCATTGCAATCGTCTTCGCTGGTGAGTTGTTGTTGTTGTTTTTTTTTGGTTTAGTGATTGATTGAATAGTTGATGTATTTGATGTATTTTTTTTTTTTTATTTGTTATTTTGTACCATGACTTTTTTTTTTAACTGGTCGATTGAATGGTTTGTTTGATGTAATTTTTTCTTTGTCATTTTGCTTTTTTTTGTAATGTGGAAGCTCATTTGTTTGCATTTTTATTTTAGTAGTTGATTGGATTATTTATTTGATGTATTTCATTTTATTTTCTTTCTTTGTTATATTGTACTATTACTGGTTATTTATTGCATGATTTTTATTTGTTTGATTTCGAACGCATTTTTTTCTTTTTTTCTCTCATTCATCCATTATTGTAGTGTCGTTTTTCTTTTAGTCTTGTTTTTTTTTTTTTTTTTGAGGGGGGAGGGCTTCTAATATCTTTAGATTCTTATTTTAAAAAAATCTAGTTGTAGAACTTTTTAAAAATGGTCTAACAAAGTGCGCAGTTATTAAATATTAATCGTTGAATAAATTGATTTGATTATAGTTCCAATTTGTAATGATTATTGTTTTTGGTAATAAATCATTTTATAATAGGAGAATACTGACAATTATCAGTTGATAAGAATAGCTCTTTATAGCACATGGTGATAACATATCTATTATTAAGACTCAATGGCGTCATTTTTGTTCACACTTCTCCTTTGTTGAATTGTCTAACTTCATTTCCAACTTCATTATTCATCCACGCTTCATCTGGACTCATTAATTTTTCATTCGAAGTGCATTTCAAGTTTATTTTCCCTATTCTAATTTCTTCATTCTACCTTTTCGCCTATTCTTCATTCTAACTCACCCATTTCACTTTTCAGATTCATTTTACCCTTTTAAAACGAATTTTCTCTCCCTCCTCTCCCAGCTGAATTCGACCTCCTCTACCTCTACATGCAAGACCGCTTTGGCCTCACGCTGCCAGAATACTCACGCTACCTCGGCATCAAGAATGTCGTCAACGGAATCTCTCTCCTCTTCATTCTACCTTCCATGCGGCGGTTCTTCGGCCTGAGCGATGTCATGTTGGGCATTCTCGGCGGGTTGTCCAGGGTGGCCGCCTTCCTTCTGCTGGGGTCGACGTCCTCGGGGATACTCGTGTATTTGGGTGAGTTTCGGTCGTGTGTGGAGGGTGGGAGGGAAGGGGGAGATGGGTGGGTGGGAAAGGAAGATGGGTGGGGGAAAGAAGAAGTGTTGGTGGTTGGGTAGGTGGGGGGGTGAAGGATTGGTAGAGGGTAGGGGAAGTCAGAGGTGAAGGGTGAAGGTGAAGGTGGGGAAGGAGAAAGGGTGACGAGAGATAGAAAAAAAGGCGGAGAAGGGGAGTAAAAAGAATGGGAGGTGAATGGGGAAGAGAGAGAAGGAAGCGAGATGAAAGGAATGGAGAAATGGGGACGGTTGTGAGTAGCCTCATTCTGCTTCAGTGAAATTATAATGGGGAGGGGGATGGAGAGAGGAAATGGAAGAGACAAGAAAGTTAGAGTTAAGTATCTCTGCAGCCTTTCCTCTAATGTCTTCTAGCAGTCCTGTGTACTTGAGTGAGTTTCAAGTGTGTGGTAGGAGGGAGGGAAGGGGGAAAAGGGAATGTGGGGAAAAGGAGGGTGTATGAAGACGGAGAGGGATGAGGGGTGAAGAGTGGATAGAGTGGGGTGATGAGGAGTAAGGGGAGAGAGAGATAAAGGTGGTGTATGGGGGGGGGGAAGGTGGAGAAGTGTGGGGGAGGTTGTGTTTGGAAGTGGGGTTCTGCTGAGTAATTACTATACAGGATACAATTTATACATTATTTTCCCCTTTCTGTCCTTTTGCTCTTTATAATGATTCAGTTACAGAAAAAATGTCCCAAACTACTTCCAGTCATCTTAAAAATATTAGCTGAAAACATTAATATAATTTTTTTCTCATTCGCAGTGCCATTCCTCGATATCTTTGGACAGTATTTATTCGTTGTTTTGCGTTCTGTCATTTCTTCTCTTGTTGATAAAGAGGAACAAGGTAAGTTAATATTATATGAGCATGAAATCTATGATTCTAAATCCTATAAAAAGGCCATAATATAAAAAATTGAAAAATGAATTAAAGAAAAAAAAAAAATTGAATTCAATTTCTTTACAAGCTTCTAAAAAGTCAAATTCCAAAAACCCAATTTCTCTCTCTCTCACAGGTCGTGTCATGACGATAGTATCAGCAATGGCTCAGCTTTCTTTGTTAATGGGGTCGCTGATCTTTGACATGCTTTACCCTGTCTTTGTTTCCATCAATCGTCCTGGAGCGACCTTCCTCTTGGCTGCGGGTTGTCTGGGAACTTCCACAATTATTCTTGGGCAAGTATCGTTTTTATACCGAACCATTTCTTTTTATTGTTGTTTGTTTTGTGCATTTAGTTAAATCCTAGTTTGATTAATGGTAATGGTATGAGGACAGTATTTATAAGAACATATGTGATGACCGTAATGAAATACTTTTAGTTACATTATTATCATCCTTGTCATTTCAAACAATAGGAAATATTACTAATGATAATATTAGTAGAAGTAGTAGTAGTATTACAATTGTAGTTTTTTTTTTTATACACTGCAGATATGTGGACTGGCATCTGAAGAGAGTAAAAAATTGTGAAGAACTGCGACCGTTAATTCAACCAGTGGAATAAGATATAAATTTTGTAATATAAAATTTGTATGTATAAATTTAGAGAGGAAGAAAGTTGTTTTTTGTTGTTGAAGAATTACTATAAATGTTTTTCTAAAAGTTTGTCTTATTTTCTCATACTACCTGTTGCTTTTAGTATTCCTTATCAGCGGATTGTATATTTATATTTTTTATTGTAAAGTTGTAAATAGACCTTAGTATAATATGATTTTATATTAAATAATCTATTTCTGGTTTGTCTTTCTTTTCTAACCAATATAAAGATGATTGCAATATTCTCATAAAATTCAATATGAAATTAGAATCTAACAGATACTTTTACCAAAAATGCTTTATACACAGTAACGGAAAAACATGTACGGCCCATGATCCAAAATATCACTAATCATGTCATAAAATTCACATACTTAAACAATAATATGGTCTTGATCTAATTGTTGGTTTATTGCTCTTAAGATGTCGTTGCAAAAGTAATCGGGAGTATTCATATTTTTTCCATAAAGGATAAAATTCAAGTAAAATTACAGTTTCTTTAAGCATAAATACTAAACATTTGCTATAATGACTGATTTACTCTTCTGGGAAAGGTGAATTCATCTTCAGTTTTTTCTGTTTCTTTCTGTCTTTATATTTTTTGTTTTTTTTTATGTTTTTTATACATGTGTCAAAAAAAGAAGAAAAACCTCAACAAACCTTCTGGCAAGATTTTGTAACCATGGTAGTTAGATAATATTCACAGTATATCAAATGTTACTTGTATTGGCTACTGGACCTATATACAATGGAAATGCAATCAGTTTTTGTATAGCAGGATATCAACTGAATAGTGAAATACTTTAAATCTACCTTTGGCAATACCTTTCTTATTACATGATTATTTTTTAGCATTCATTAATGCTTTCAATTTTCATTATTCATACAAATTTATTTTATTTCAATATCAATTTCTATATTTCTAAAAGAAAAATTATTTAACACAGACTCAGTGTTTACTAGTTTGTTCAAACATAAAATTTGAACATCCATAAAAGGGGAAGAATCAAAATACAATGAATTAGGCTCATTTAATTAATCACTGTGACATCTGTGTTGGTCTTTTGTGTAAAGACACTACTTTTAACATTTTCTTAGCCCATTGGCCACGAGTGCATGTACTACCCGCAGTAGTTTTATTGTGAATTTTGTTGCGCACAGATGGTTCCACAAGGTAATAGACCTTACATGACCTTACCTAATTTCCCCATTTCTTGGCTTTTTTATTTACTTATTTTTTCTGATGCTATCAATATCAAGAATGTTATTATACTAACAGTAATAAAAAATGAGAAGAATCTCTCTAAAAATCAAAGAAAAGGGTAAACATGTGAGATAAGTAGGACTAGTTACCGGACTCCAAGATGACTTAGCACTTGAGAAGCCATCTATGCATGAACACAATAAAATAAAGTCACAGTAGGTATGTCATCTCGACACAATGGAGTAAATCCAAATAGTTGTACCATTTTCACATGGCACAAAAAATACTATTGGAACACTGCACAATTTCTGGTGAGGTGGACTGACGTGCAGTGTGTAAATACAAACACAACAATTATTAATACAAATACAACAAGTATTAAAAGATAATTGGTCTTGCAGTTATTACATATGGTGTATATATGCATGTGATTATTTCTGGTTCTAAGTGTCAAACTTATTTTATTTAATACTGGATTCAGTATACTGAGGACACATCTTCTTTATCATTCCTATTTTTTAAAGTAGATCTATTTTGCAGCTCCTATTTGTAAAAAGAATTTGAAACCCAGAATTTTTATTTCACTTACAGCTGGCTTTCACTCTTTAAAAAACAATCACTCTATAAAAATGGCACAAAGAACAAATTTCATTATTCCTGCTTTTTTAAATATCTTTAGGTCTTCTTTTTACATTTTCTAACACACCACCTGAGGACTGCAAACACTGTGGAGAATTTCTGTAAAAAGGCTGCAATGCACTTTATCTTATCTGTTTTTCCAATAACGATGGTTAATTTAACATATATATTACTAACATTTTAAATTATCTTTCTCTACTGTTTCTGTGTCTGATTCACAACCTTCTGTTTAACACTGGAGTCCCTCTGAGGCCATGTCTGACATAATACACATATAAATACTAAATAAAAATAAAGTGTTTAACATGCATGCAAGCCCCCTATAGCATAGATTATTACATTAATAGCAATAGGGATCATACCTTAGGAACCAAACTTCTACAATTATCATTACAGTACATGTTTGATTTTTTTAAATATCTTCCTTGTAATTATTATATATATTAAACCTTGTGCAGTGCAAACAAGATTCTGGAAAATATTAGACTAATAAGAAACTAAAGGCGATTGAAAATCTCACTGATTTTCTTAAACAAATCCTTACCATTAAAATTACTTTTAATATATATATGTGATATTAGCAGTTCTAAATTTGGGAATTAAATTTCCATAGATTACATGCAAAATTACCTGTTAAACAATCTGCATAATAGTATTTAAAAAGGTCTTTGAACCTGGAGATAAAACAAATTCAATAATTATATATGTGGAATACCATCTCAACATCCTGTTATTATCAGAGGTGCATACAGCTCTGATTACATGCAACAGATGTCCTATTCATTATCAAATGTTTTCTTGACTTTGCAAAATTTGTAAGGTCAATGTAGATTCAAGATATTCCAGCTGTAATTTAGCCTTTCTGTTTTAATAATACTACATTCAGGCTTTAATTCTTCTTTCTTCTCTTAATCAGATACTTTGTCTCAATATCAACATTTAAAAAAATCAGTAGGCTATACTTAATGCTTTCTATATAAAACAGGAAAATTTTTAATCATTACTCATAAAACAACAACAAAAAAGTCTAATTCTTCATAATTGTACAGGCTGCAAAACAATTTGTTATACCCCAAACAAATTAAACCTATGTGGTTTACTTTTAATGATGCTAAAACTGACAAGCTGTTGTTCTTTGTGTAATGACATAACATATGGACCCTTTTACATCAGTTGCACCTTAAAACACAGTGACGCATAAAGGTGTTAGTTGTTTATTTCCATCTTTTCCCAAACCATGTGCCTTTGACATTTTAATATTCAAACAGGAAGATGTTCTTTTGTTATCGCATAGAAAAATTACTGAATGAAAAAGTTTTAGAAAAGGCACTATACTTAAAGTCAGAATTTCTCACATTTTCCACTTATATCTTATTTCTAGTACGCTGATTAGATTCACATCTTACTTTTGCATAATAAATTGTGAAAAAAGTACACTCAATTGTCAACATCATACTGACAGTTCAAATCAACATTGCTGGTTAATGTATCCGATTCTTTAGAAAAACATTATATATGGACTTTAACATTGTACCAATACAATAATATGTTATTAATACAGTTTATTACAAGCACATGAACAATGAACCTCTAGTTCAAATGATTTTTCAAACTCTGTGTGAAATAAGTTTGTGCATTTCCGTACTTTCATATTGAAATTTGGTTCTTTGAACATACAATGTATTAGCTTACTGTATTCTTAATTTAGATGCCACTGTGTTCCTTGATGCCCCATTTAATATCTTGTACTTTTCAATACTACATGAAGTATTGACTTGCAAAAAAATATTCAGTTATCTTTGCTTTAATTTGAAAAGGAAGTAATACCAGTACTTTATATAACAAAATTAATGAGGAATAAATGTATGTTATTTGCAATTAAAACCTTTGCAAGTGATAGTTAATGTTCCAGAAGTTATATTCCTGGACACTTTATCTCAATGAGATAAAAAAAAAAAAAAACTGAAATATCAAAATAATAAAAATTCATATAATTCAAGATGAATATACAAAACTAATGGAGCACCATTCTCCTTGGGTTAAAAAATTCTACACAAAAGATGGCTTTCATGATAAACAAATTAATATATAAGATTATTTACACCTATAAAATAAAGTCTATTATACAAAAATATTCTATACATAAAACAACTAATAACAATAAAATATATTTTTTGTGCTGTTAACACATTTTAGCTAAGGCAATTAACCGTGCAAGAGTTATATATATCAGTACATCTACATGGACATCTTAATAATAACTTCAACTACAATATTATTACCTGCAGCATTAAGCATAAACTCGCTTTCAAGGTCATGATCCATTTCTACCGGCATCATGTTCTTCCCTGTACTGAAAAGAAAGCATTTTCCCCTGTTAGTGGCTTGTAACACATTAACAACCTTAATCACAGGACTAAAGAGACGGAATGTCAATGAATTCAAAATTAGTTAAGAAATTAGAGCCCAACACCACAGCTGAGATATCAAGATGATTAAAACAGCAGGAAACTGTGGCAGCATAAATAAATGACATTACTGATAAATTAATGAATGCTATTCTATATCAATTATGTGGGATGACCAAATGTTAATAATCCCAAAGCCTTAAATATAAAGTGTGAGCAAATGTTCTTTATCATAGTATCTCATAATAATGTTAACTAAGCAAGCGCTGCATGCACTGATATTTCCCGTAATGTTATATTAGAAAAAAAGAGTCTGCAGTTCTGGGTAAACTGTGCATCAGCCAGGATATGTCTACACGCAAAAGAGAAAAAGAGAAAGAGAATGGGGTAAAGAAGAGAAAGAGAGAAAAAAAGTAATATAAAGATAAAGATAAAAGACAGATAGAGAAAGAGAAAGATAGACAGAGAGACAGAACAACTTCAAAGATAAGACCAAAACATCTATCACAATGAATCGAAAGAGAGAGGGAAAAAGAAGAGAAAGAGAAAGAGAATATGAAAGAGTAAGATAAAGATAAAGATAACAGACAGAGATAAAGAAAGACAAAGAGAGAGAGAGAGAGAGACAGAACAACTTCAAAGATAAGACTCCAAAACATCTATCACAATGAATCTTCCGAAGCTCTTATTGCATCAAAGGATTTTGTCTTTTATTATAACACCACAAACAAGTCTTCTAAAGCTGTTATCTGAGTGACTGATGAGTTGGAGACACATCTGACCCCTCTTCTGACTGATGGACAATATCCCTCGGAACTGTTCTTATAGTATCAAAGTGGAGAGAAAGCGAGTGTCTGGAAGGTAAGGAGGAATCGTGCAATTTTTGAACATCGCTCTCCTCAGATCTCTGTAAACTAATGCCCTCTATTCTCATCTGTTCTTCTGCGCTTCCTTCCCCTAATTCTCCGTCATCGGGACTCACTTTCAGGTAGAGCTTCTGGAGATGATCCCAGAACATGAGATTGAGGAAGCTGTGTGGACCAATCCTGAAGTAAATAGCGGTCCAGCCCTTGTAGAAGCCCCACACACCCTCTGTCTTGTATATCTTCACAATGCAGTCAGTGATGCCCTTGTACAGCAACCCACGGCCGTGTTTGTCCAAGCCTGCGTGTGGATTTCATATGAATTGGAAACTCAAAATAATTTGTGGCAAAGGGGGCAAAATACGGTGAAAAGGCTGAATTATCATACAAATATAAAAAGATACTGATCACAACTGCATAAATGAAGAAAAAATTATGTAAAATGAATGGCTGGGAATGCACTTATAGAGTATTTATTATATCCTCGATGATATATAAAATATCTCAGAACGATTCCCTTGTGGGAAAACAAATAAATGCTTTTCAAAAGATTCCATCTGCATTCTACACATATAAAAAAGAATAATGATAATAATGATAATAATTACACTGTATGTCCAAATTCTCTGCCATTTATCATATCATCTATCTAAGTTCACAGCTTACCTTGATTATAAACTCTTGTTGCAATGACATCAAAGGGACTCATGGATGTTGCAATCACTATGCCACTAACCATAGCACCAACAAATGTACTTTGCCAACTGTCTCGTGGATACAACTGAAAGATAAATAAATGTAAATAAAGCAAGTAAATACAAAATGGTCTTTACAAATGCAATATTTTCTTTACCTATAAAATGTACACTTTAAGATATATCTTTAACTAAAACATAGTCAACTTCAGATTATATTCCCAACTATGCTGTATATCCTTAATTATAAATCTATTCATAGTCAAAAGTACATACTCTTAATCATAAAATGTGTTATTAACAATCAAGTACATATTTCTGATTACATAAATGACAAAACTCAAATCACATCTAAAAGAAAGAGAAAATTTCAAAAAAAATTTCACTCTTGCTTTCACAACTCCTGCTTACACAAATAGTATCTACACTTTCCAAGATCCTAAAGTAATAAACCTCCACATACTCAAACAAATATCTACATTTTAGAATACAAAAATCCAGCAAATTTCACCCCATAATGGTCAAGCCAATCCTTGCTTTTTGAGTAAGAAAAGAGCTGCGCAGCTGAACCGACACCAACTCTAGGTATGGTGGTGGTTGCTCCTCGCCATAAACCTTTGACACCTTCTTGATTGAAAATTTTGTACAGTGCAGGTATGAAACCTGAAAATTGTGGGGAAAATCAATAAGCTTGATAAAGAATAATCAATTATTACAGACTACATTTAATTCATCTAATATCTCCAATACTGAATAACAACTCAATTACATTTCTATACTAGAACCTTAAAGACCGTGCAATAAAGTTCTCGAAACATTTTTCTTATTCTACTCTTCTTTAAATCCTGCATTTCATAATCATCTTAAAAAGCAAATATATACCTTCATGTTTGTGCTGGTGACCTACAGCAATGGACTCTGCTGCATGTGACTGTAGGTGAGTCTTCACCTAAGGAAGTTAAAGTGAAAAATTAGAAATACATCACAAACATAACATCACATCACAAACACATTATATATCACATTTTGTACAAATCTAATTTATGAACAGGAAATAGGAATAGAAATCATCCATATAAAATGCACAGGGAATTATAACCTCTGGTAAATCCCAATCAACTATCAAATATTCAAAGTATCTTCTACAAGGATTGGCAAAACATTACTAAAACAATTACCTCTTACTCACAAGATAAAAAGGACTGCCTACAACACCCCCAACCACGCCTACAAAAGCTCCAGCTGCAATGCAACCCAGTGATGAGACACTACCATCAGCACGAGATATGACTCCTGAGTCGAGGATCCTTCTGTACATTCCGAAGCGGATTCCGTTCATGACTACCTGATATGAAAGAGCTGGTACTAGTCCCTTCTGGAGTCCTGTTATCCCATCAGCCTGAAAAAAGGATCTGGTGGGGGCATCATTTTAAACTACCACAAAATTTCTTTAAAAACTTTCAACTTTACTCTGGCTTTGCTTTGAATTTTGACCTTATATATAGAAAGGAAATAAAGACTTTGGATGAGGATATATTTGCAATGACAACATTTTTAGTTTTATATTTAAGATAAGGTTTATCAGAGAGAAGAAAATGGAAAGAACTATAGTACAATGTTTTTACTTTCCAAAATAACTACATAACAAACAGGGTGAAATCTGAAAGACACATAAGCCTAAACAAAAAAATCCAGAACTTGTCAAGTTTTCTAACTGACAAACTTATTCTATTTACACTGTCAAATACATAATCATAAAGAGTCAAGATTCTACTCCAACAACTTACCTTTGCTACGGCAATGCCAGCATGAATTATGTTCCTGTAGATAATAGTGTACTGCCCTCTAGCCTTTAGTTCCCCTTGTAACTGCATGCGTGTCTTGAGCACATCCATCGGGTTGGAGAAAATACATGCCCCACAGGCTGCTGTTGCCCCTATGACAAACTCCATTTTTAAAATTCTTTTTTACAGCCTGGAAAGAATAGTAATGTTCATTAATTAATCACACATTTACCTTTAATACCTATTACCACTACCATATAAGTTTATGATATATATTATTGTAAATGCATAGAAAACACCCAAATGTCCTCCACTAACTTCTGCAACTATTGGAAGATTCAGTAACGCCTAGCAACCACCCCTAACAATGAGCGCTTGATGAAAACAAACCCTCATCCATTCGAAAACTCACTTCGCTTTACCTACAAAGTCGCTGAATTTTTTTGCATGAAAATGCCGAGGAGCTGTGTTGCCATTGTTCGAACCACAACATGATGGGAAAGAAAGGCTTAATTTTTCATATATTCTCGGGTCGCAAAAAGAAACCTGCATAATGGAAGCGATGAGTACAGGCCATGAAACGTGTGAACACTGATGGGAATGCTTGGATGCCTGGTGGAATAGGTTTACATCTACTCAGAACATTCTTTTGATCTACATATCAATATTTTACACCTATTCAAATTCCAGATACGCATGATCTCTTTCATACTCTATCTATCTACACTACCTACCAAGGCCAAAAAAGGTCAACATTATCGACATTAGGTTTTGGCAGCAGCCATATACTCTAAAAAGCACAACAGCAATTTTACTTTTTTTGTAATAAATTTATTTATCATCATTTAGATTTACAAGCAAACCATCCCCGGATCCAACACACCCAAACTGTATCCCAAGTATCTTTAAGCACTGTCCATTAGAGGAAAATAAAGAAGGCATACAGTTGCCTGTTGCATTTGTATCTGAAATGTCATATGGTCTAGCAGATGAAACAACTGAAGAGGGCCTATCTCTTGAAGTTAAATTATTGATGAGAGAGAAAAATGCGTTGTGCACTTGTAGGCCTTTACATGACTTCATTGTCTCCTTTGTATAAACACCTAGTAAATGGGAAAAAGAGTGATATTAGGAAATGGCACTGATTTACAATATATAGCTAAAAATCATAGATTACTGTAGCAAATTATGTTATCACAGAATTATTATTATTACGGTGTGTGTTGGTGAAATAGTTATAGATGTCGGAATATTCAATATTAGGCCATTTCGAAGAATCATGGTATGGGCTCTCTTTTAGCTGCACAGCTTCTAGTTTTGTTTCTTATTGCTTTTTCACTTTGGTTTTTGAAGAATCAGAGCATTCACATGCCATTTTCGCTCACACTGATAGCAAGTTATCTGCGAGCGATGGGTTTGTTTTCACCAAGTGGAATGGTGACTCCGATTTGTGGTTACACTAAATCGGTCAATATACAGTCAAGCTGAAATTCAGTCTGTAATTAATTTTCTAAAGCAAGATTCAAGTGGATTTGAGTATATTATTGGCAATATGATTATGTAACAAAAGACCCATCTTGAAAGCTACTGCATTTATCTTCTAAAGTGTTATCACTACCATTAGTGACTGTGTTTATGAAAACCAGGAAGCCAACACACACCCATTTTCATATTAGTGACACCATAATTAGCTATAACTTTGCATTCGTTGGCCTTCCTACCACAATCAACATTGCTTCACCAACTATACGATAGCAAAATAGTTCTCGCTGTGGTGCAGATGTTATTGGGTTGGACTCGAGATTACAGGCTCATCAATGAGAGCTTTGTTACCCATTTACAGATCATGATGTGGTGCAGATGTTATTGGGTTGGACTCGAGATTACAAGCCTTTCATGACAGATCACAATAAGATTTATGATGGTCTTGAAAATGCTAAGGAATAGTTTTAGTTCCACACAGCCGTGAGTTAGAAGGAAAATTTTACCTGTTTTGTACGTTATGATGGTTTTACCTCTGCAACTTGACAATAACAAACTTATGAGGTATGTGAGAGATAAAAAAAACAAAGCAAATATATTCACAGTACACTGTTAAAGTCCCACTTTGGAACTTACTCAGGAGTCTTCCAAACATTTACCTTAATATCTCTTGTGTTTGGGGTTCTGATGCACAAAAAGTATGAGCTAATATATTTTTTCTCAAAAATGCACAAATCTAGACTTCCAAAGGCCTTCAAGTGAATGGAATATATAAACTCATTCATTCGAACATCTGTATAATGAACACATAACTACCTTCTTAACTATATCAATCTCCACCTATTTCAAGGCTATTATCCATTTTAACAGCATATTTCACCTTTACATAACCTTCAACTAAAATGACATACAAGAAATCCAGATTATTAATAAAACAACAAAACCAACATTCCATCCAAGGCCGATTAACAAGTACGAAAAAATCCCCGTTATATTACTACCACAAAATACCTATTAAATACCCCCAATAAACCAAAATATTCCCCCCTTTCTCTAACAAAACCCCCCAAAATATAACCCTCTGACAATAAACCATACCTTAAAGCAACAACATCAACCATCAGGTAAGCGATATCATGATGAGTTTTCGTTAATCACAGGTAAAGGTAGTCTCGATTTCGTCTGCAAGTTACATAATACATTGTTGATGGTCGGTCTCCGGGGCGAGGTAGCGAACAGGGCGGAGCGAACACCGTGGAGTGAAGAGGAGGGAGGGGCTGGTTAGCGAAGAGATTTTTTTGTGAAGAGGTGTGTGGATGTATTTATCTATCTAATCTGCTAGTCTATCTATCTATCTATCTACCTGTCTCTCTATCTATCTATAGATAAAACATGCATCATATTGCAGATAATTCACCTTGAACAGTTCATCTTGCTGAACAGCCATGTCTTTTCTCGCTCGCTGTACTATCACTGATTGGGAAGGTGGTCAGGGAAAGACATAGACACAGTAGAGACCCCAACTTCCATCTAACGAGGAGAAATACCTTTTCCGTTTATTCAACTGCGCTGAACTTCTACCACACTTAAATAAAAACTACTATCAGTCGCGCCGATCTATGCCTTTTTACAGAAGTCCACTGCCCTCTTGGCCGCAGCCTCATCATGAACGCGGCCAAATGATTGCAAACACGTGGTTCCGTTTCCATCCAAAGAGCCTATATACCTGAAAGAGCCCTGGAGATAACTACGGAAATCAAACAGATTATGTAACTATAAGTAAAAGATTCAGAAACGCGATTCTACATCCAGAACTTACCCTGGTGCAGTTTTAGACAGCGACCATGACCCAGTGGTGGCAATGGTCAGATTAAGATTGAAAAACAAGAGAAAAACAGAACCTATAATGAATCTAAAAGAACTGAGGAAAGAAGGCACAAGAAAACGTTATAGTATAGTAAAGTATAGATGAAAGTGACAAGGATGAGCTGGAAAGGGAAGGGACATGTTTACGAAAGACATATGTGGAAGCAGCTGAGGAAACCAAGGAACGAAAGACGAGCAAAAAAAAAAAAAAAGAAAAAAAAAATGGATGACGGACGATATTCTAGATTTGATGCAAGAACGAAAGAAGTAAAAAAAAAAAAAAAAAAAAAAAAAAAAAAAAAAACGGAATATACATATATCGAGAGAAATAAGCAGTGGAGTTAAAAGGTGTTCTGCAGCAAAGGAACGATGGATAAATAAACAGCCTGATGAGATGGTTGTTGGCAAATAGAGATGCTCAGATGATACATGAAAGAGTGAAGGAACTTGTTGGAATAGGAAAGTTGCGAACAGGGGAAGTAATGAACAAGAATGGCGAAATGGCAATGGAAAAAAAGAAATACTTGACAGATGAAAAGAATTTATTCAAAAATTGTTCTGGGATAAGATAAGAAGAAGATAAGAAATAAACTTACCAACATCAACCTATCATTTAAAACGAGGCAAAGAGCAATTAAAAAATATAAATGGCCAGTTGTGCTGAATGAAAAAGTGCTAAGACTGGGTACTGAAAAAAAAAATTACTGGTGAAAACAAGAGTAAAACCAATGAGGTTTGTAGGACATGCAATGAGAAGAGGAAAGATAAAGGACCTAAGCTTAACACGAAGAATCCCAGGTAGAAGAAGCAGACATAGGGAAACTGGAAAGACTAGATCAGTAGCAACTCGAGAAGGTGTCATGGCGACCGTTTTGATGATCGTCCAGTGAAATAATAACCATTAAAATAATTATTTTCCATCCTTTTTTGGAAACTGGAGAGACCAAAAATGGTCGACCATATTCACAAAGCATTTGTGACGTCATCAAAATAAACATGTGTTTCTTTTTCAAAAATGGAATTAGACGCCATGACACCTCTAGTTGCTACTGATCTAGCCGTTCCCAAAGGGAGACAAGAAGAACAAAAGGAGGGGAAAGCAACAAGAAGAACAGAAGGAGGGGAAAGCAACAAGAAGAACAAAAGGAGGGGAAAGCAACAAGAAGAACAAGAAGGAGGGGGAAAGCAACAAGAAGAAACAAAAGGAGGGGAAAGCAACAAGAGAACAAAAGGAGGGGAAAAGCAACAAGAAGAACAAAAGGAGGGAAAGCAACAAGAAGAACAAAAGGAGGGGAAAGCAAAAGAAGAACAAAAGGAGGGGAAAAGCAACAAGAAGAACAAAAGGAGGGGAAAGCAACAAGAAGAACAAAAGGAGGGGAAAGCAACAAGAAGAACAAAAGGAGGGAAAGCAACAAGAAGAACAAGCAACAGAAGAGGGGAAAGCAACAAGAAGAACAAAGGAGGGAAACAACAGAAGAACAAAAGGAGGGAAAGCAACAAGAAGAACAAAAGGAGGGAAAGCAACAAGAAGAACAGGGAAAGCAACAAGAAGAGGAGGGGAAAGCAAAAGAAGAACAAAAGGAGGGGAAAGCAACAAGAAGAACAAAGGAGGGGAAAGCAACAAGAAGAACAAAGGGGGAAAGCAACAAGAAGAACAAAAGGAGAGGGAAAGCAACAAGAAGAACAAAAGGAGGGGAAAGCAACAAGAAGAACAAAAGGAGGGGAAAGCAACAAGAAGAACAAGAAGGAGGGGAAAGCAAACAAGAAACAAGGAAAGCAACAAGAAGAACAAAAAGGAGGAAAGCAACAAGAAAACAAAGGAGGGAAGCAACAAGAAGAACGAAGGAGGGGAAAGCAACAAGAAGAACAGAAGGGGAAAGCAACAAGAAGAACAAAAGGAAAGCAACAACAAGGGAAAGCAACAAGAAGAACAAAAGGAGGGGAAAGCAACAACAAGGGGGGAAGCAACAAGAAGAACAGAAGGAGGGGAAAGCAACAAGAAGAACAAAAGGAGGGAAAGCAACAAGAAGAACAAGAACAAGAAGAACAAAGGAGGGGAAAGCAACAAGAAGAACAGAAGGAGGGGAAAGCAACAAGGAACAAAAGGAGGGGAAAGCAACAAGAAGAACAAAAGGAGGGAAAGAACAAGAAAACAAAAGGAGGGGAAAGCAACAAGAAGAACCAAGAACAAGAAGAACAGGGGAAAGCAACAAGAACAAAAGGAGGGGGAAAGCAACAAGAAGAACAAAAAGAGGGGAAAGCAAAGATACACATATGCTGCAAATGACAAGAGATAGAGAGTGTGGCAGTCCATGGTTGCCAACGTCTGCCAAGCACTTCGATAAGATATACTCACAGGTGGATGGGAAGAAGGGTTGGTATATAAGCTTGGTGCATATGTGTGTATGTGTATTTATATGTATGTCTGTCTGTTGGGGGAAAAGTTAAAAACCTTATTTGTATAAATCACTTAAAAGACACACGATTATTATTATTTTTTATTTTTTTTTTTTTACAATTTTCTTTTTCTTTCATTTTTTTTTTTTTTTGTTATCCTTAGCAATATTATACATATTCATTGCAATCTTCATTTACTCTGTTTTGTCACACATACGCAAACCGTAATATTCGCAGTTCGCACACATAACTCACTAATCACATCGCTTACCAATCTGCGATAAGGGAGAGATACATATATAGATAGACAGACAGACAGATGGAGAGAGAGAGAGAGAGAGAGAGAGAGAGAGAGAAGAGAGAGAGAGAGAGAGAGAGAGAGAGAGAGAGAGAGAGAGAGAGAGAGAGAAAATGGCTATTTCGTACACTTCCACTTTCCTTACGATTTATCCAACGTAAAGAAAGAAAATCACACAATAATGTAATTCACAAACACGAATACACAAACAATGCACAA